AACTGCCCCACGCCCCACCCACCCACCCACAGGTCCTAGCATCTATTGACAAATCTCATCTAGCTGTCTCTGTGGTATTTACTTATCGCTAATTTTGTTTCTGTCACACCGTTGACATTCATTACTTAGAATTTATCACAAAAGGAAGCCCCATCCCTCCTTGTATTTGTTACTGGGTTATTTTCAGATTGGGCAGGTGCACGGTGTTTACCGCTCTCTGAACTGTAACCCAATGCTATCATTTACTTTACAGTTTAAATTGCTCTGACCATCAGGCTGGCACCTGTGCCTTGTTGATGTGCCCGCGTCCTTTCATAAGGATTTCCTAAGTATTTTGGTTTGAAAAATGTTTTAATTAGGCTCAGGCTGACAAGATGGCTCAGTGGGGGAAGACTCTTGCCACAAAGCTTGATTCCTGGAACCTGCATGGAAGAAGGAGAGAAACTGAGTTCTGCAGGTTGCACTCTGACTTCCACACGTGTACCATGGCCTGTGCATTCCCCAAAACAGAGAAATAAATGTAAATAAGTATTAAAAAAACCCACTTTTATAAAAAAAATTAGGCTCCTCTTTTGTTTTCCCTGCTCCATCCTGAACAGCATTTAGAAATCAAAATGACAGTGTTGGGTGCAGTGAATATTGAGCTCATTGCTCTCGGATGCTGTAAACCATCTGAGGAGCATCCATGCACACTCATCTGTGCGTCTCCTTACCTCCATGTCATACTGTATACATGCATGCACACTCATCTGTGCATCTCCTTACCTCCATGTCATAGTGTATACATCCATGCACACTCATCTGTGCGTCTCCTTACCTCCATGTCATAGTGTATACATCCATGCACACTCATCTGTGCATCTCCTTACCTCCATGTCATAGTGTATACATCCATGCACACTCATCTGTGTGTCTCCTTACCTCCATGTCATAGTGTACACATGCATGCACACTCATCTGTGCGTCTCCTTACCTCCATGTCATACTGTATACATGCATGCACACTCATCTGTGCGTCTCCTTACCTCCATGTCATACTGTATACATGCATGCACACTCATCTGTGCGTCTCCTTACCTCCGTGTCATACTGTATACATGCATGCACACTCATCTGTGCGTCTCCTTACCTCCGTGTCATACTGTATACATGCATGCACACTCATCTGTGCGTCTCCTTACCTCCGTGTCAAACTGTATACATGCATGCACACTCATCTGTGTGTCTCCTTACCTCTAGGTCATACCGTATACATGCATGCACACTCATCTGTGTGTCTCCTTACCTCCAGGTCATACTGTATACATGCGTGCATACTCATCTTTATGTCTCGTTACCTCCGTGTCATACCCGTGAGAAGCGAGGAGTGGACCGCAGTAGTCCAGTGCCGGAGATGTGTCTTTGGGTAGATGGCTAGACGTAGAATTGCTGGGTTCTCGTGACTTCACCATACTCTCTTATCTCTCCCTTCCAGCATCACAGGAGATGCTTGCCTTCTACAGGGCTGTGTCACATTTGAAAAGCTGTGCCAGGCTAATGGGTGACAGATAATGTCTTGATATTAGCTTCATTTGCGTTTTCCTAAATACGAATGTATTACTGTTCTTATTGCTGTGTTTACAGGAAGCAGAGAGATGAATCCTGGTGCTCAGCCCACTTTTTCTTTTTTTCTTTTTCTTCATCAGTCCAGGACCCCAGCCTTTAGAATGGTGCCACCCACCTTCAGGGCCCAGCGTCCCCCCCCTCAGCTAATCCTCTGTGGGAATACCATCACAGACACCTCCAAAGACATGCCCACTAATGCCCTGGGCATTCTTTCATCTCACCAACTTGACAAAGAAATCACTGAAGTGAGTGTATTTAACTGAGCACTCTGTCACGACTGATGTGTGTGGCTTCTCAGCAGCTTGCTTGTAAATCCTCTGTCTTTTGTTCATGGAGGTGGGGCCACTAAGGTTTTTCTCTTGCTTTTTTCTGAGACAGGCCTCATGTAATGTGGTTGACCTTGACTCCTGATCCTCCTGCCACTACCTCCCAGTAACTGGGATTACAAGTATGTACCACTGCATACATGTAACTTGTTCCTCACCCTTTATGAGTTTCACATATGAGTCATGAGCCTTTGTAGCACATGCTCCAAATATTTTCTTGATAATAAGCCACATAAGACTTTATTTAAAAAAGCAAACAACCTCCCCCCACCCCCTCCCCCCACACACACTCCAAAAAAGAATGTTAAATTCTGTGAGCCAGGTATGGTGGTGTATGCCTATAATCCCACCTCTCAGCACTCCCAGCTACCTGTGGATCAGGGGGTCCCCTCACACATGTGGTGCACAAAAACCCACACAGGCACGTAAATAAAAAAATCAATTAAAGTACAAAGAAAACCCAAAGCATTTGCTTCCTAGTTTAGTTTAGTTTAGTTTGTTTTTGATTTGTCATAAATGGTGTTTACATTTCAAATGATTTTTAGTATCTCTGGAGATAATTGTGTCATTGTTTTCCTCATGAGAACTAACCTGGGAATGATGTTCATGGATTTCCTGCTGTTGAGCCTGGCTTTCATTTCTAGAAGTTCTTCCTGGTCATACTGTGATTCCCTTAATGTGATGGGAGAGGTCATTTTACTTTTTGCCTTGGTATTTGTGATGGTTAGTGTTGATTGTCAGTTTGACAGGATGTGGAATCAGACAAACCTCCAGGCACACCTGTGAGGGATTATTTAGATTAGGGTAGCTTTTGGGAATGACTGGGAAATCTAGGGCTCAGTCCCATGTATCACGGTGAAATGCCTCCTGGTCGAGTAAACCCATTATGTTTCAAAAACCCCCAACTCTGTGGTAGGACCATTGGCAGTAAGTGGTGGCTGCAGGAGTTGGGGGAGTGGTGTCATTTTTGTCAGTGGGGCACCCACTGAAAAGTAGTCTGCACCAGGAAGTAACTTCCTACCCGTGCTCATGCAAACAGTCAGCCCTAAGTAAATCAAATTGAAATGTGCGCACACACACACATACCCTCAAAGACCTGAAAACTAGAGGGAGACTTCAGGGAAAGAAAATGAGTTCAGGGGAAGAAGTGCTGGGAGGGTGAGAGATGGTGCTGCAGACTCAAAGCTGGAGGGGCTGAGCTATCAAAGTCCTGTAACATCAGGCGTCAAACTACAGCATTTGGAGTTTGCCCTGCTGGGTTTCCATCTTGGGTTCAGGACTTCCTCACTAGGTCCATATTCTTTCCTTTTGGAATGGTGATGTAGATTCTGTGCCACTGCATGCTGGATGTATGTAACTGGGTTTTTAATTTTATAGGCTTGTCTTTTGTCTCAGAAGCAACATTGGACTTTTATTTATTTATTTATTTTAAGAATCAAACTTGATCTTTAACTTTTTTTTTTTTAAATTTTTTTTTTATTATGTATACAGCATATATGACAGCAGGCCAGAAGAGGGCACCAGATCTCATTACAGATGGTTGTGAGCCACCATGTGGTTGCTGGGAATTGAACTCAGGACCTCTGGAAGAGCAGTCAGTGCTCTTAACCTCTGAGCCATCTCTCCAGCCCGACATTGGACTTTTAAACAGTGTTGAGACTGAAAGACTGTAGGGACTTTTGAAGTTGCACTAAATGCATTTTGCATTATAATATGACCACGAGCCTGTGGGGGCCAAGAAGTGGAATGTGATAGTTTGAATGAGAAACGTTCCTCATAGGCTCATAAGTTTGAATACCTGGTCCCCAGCTGTAGAGCTCTTTGGGAAGGATTGGAGAGTATGGCCTTGTTGGAGGAGGTGTGTCACAGGGGTCAGGCTTTGAGAATGTAAAGACTCACACGCCATTTCAAGGTTTATGCTTGTGGTAAACAATGTGGGTGTGGTGGTGCATCCCTTTTATCCTAGCACTTGGGAGGCAGAGGCAGGTGGATCTCTGTGAGCTTGAGACTAGACCCTATCTTGAAAAAATAATTAAATAAAAATGAGTACTCTCAGCTTCCTGCTCCCACCACCATCCCTGTGGCCTCCCTGGATTTGTAAGCCCAAATAAACTCTTCTGTGAGTTGCCTGGTCGTGGTATTTTATCACAGCAACAGAAAAATAACTAACACAGATGATAGTGATTAAAACTCACTATATATTTGAAACTTTCAATGAATACATTTTAAGAGCCAACTAGGAATTATTAAATAAATGATACCATAGATAATAAACACAGTTGGGGAAACTCAGACTTGGCAAAGACAGTGATTTACAACTGAGTGTAGATGTTGGAGCCATGCAGTGGATCATACCAGCAAATGTTTTTTGACTTGGGAGGTGTCCAGAGCCAGAGGGACATGCTGGCCCTGGGCAGAGAGTGGATTGGTGGGTGTTTACAGAGGTCCTCCTGACTCTCTTGCCCAGAACAGGATGGCTCTAGGAATGTATCTTGAGGCATTAGGACATGATACTTTGTTCTGAAGTGTTGAAGGACTATCTTTGTAATTAACCTTCTTTAGTTAATGTGGAAGTAGAAACTAAATGTTAACTTTCTCCCGAATTACCTGCTTATGGGCTGTGTGTGCAGACTCTGAGATCAATAAAAGTAATTTGTTCTTCCATGCCAGTAAGAGAATTATTCACAAGTGAGCCATGCGTACTGTGTTAAGAAAGAATGCAACTCGATGCTAAGGAAGATGTGTTGAAGCATATAAGTAGTTCCTTGAACAAAATTTATAGGTTTGGTACATTTTCAATAAACCAGTCACAATAGTTTATTACAGGAATTTCAGCCAAAATTGTTTAAAATGACTATTTTAAATCTATCAAGCCGAGTAACTACAGACAGCGCTTGAACTAACAAGGTTAAGGTAAGTGATGGCTGTTAGTCCTGAAAGTCATCTCCACACGTTCTAGAAGGCTTTCCAGCCCACGGGGGTCTATGTTAGAAACCGAAGTTTTCTGAAAAGAAATTGAGAGTGTTGTGTGTTGTCTGAGGTCATCGGAAGTGAAATTTTGTGTTTCAGAAACGGGCATGCTGGAGGTCAGAAGCTGGTGGGCATGAGTACAGCAGCCACATGGTAAGCACCTGTGCCCTGCTGTCTTGGAGCACAGAGGACCAGGAACCACGACCTCGAGGCCTGCCTGCACCGCGTCTGGAGTGTAGCCAGGAGAGGCCGAGCTCAGTGGTATGTGCTTCCTCTTGCCACCAAACCCACTGTGAGCCCACAGAATTCATTTAATAAAACCGTGGCTACCCCTGTGCTGATGCACGTATGTCTGTGGTTCATCTCATAGATTCTGCAGAACAGCGGAAGGAGTTCAGCCCAGCCTTGCCTGAGATGTATTGCAGGGGAATCTGTAAGTGTTGTCTGAGACATAAATGGTAGAGTTCTTCACCATCAAATCTGTAAAACAGTTAATAAAATCTGCAGTTACACACACATAAGAATGAGATACATAAATAAAGGTTGATTTAAGCTTGTTTTTTTTTTTTTTTTTTAGCAAAAAAATGTTGTTCCAGCTTCACATTTAGAACAGTAAATTAAAAATAAAGTTAAAATTCTGACTAGGCAGCAGCATTTGTGCATGTGTACACGTGTGAAGGTGCTGGTGACTAGAAGACAACCTGGAGGAGCAGGAGTTGATCCTCTGTTTGTCTGAAACGCAGAACTTGAAGGTCGTCTTGGGGAAGAGACATGACCTTACTTAAATTACCTCAGCAGGCGTTAGCACTGGGTTCTCCTCACCTGCTTAAACTCTCCTAGTGTGTTTCCGTAAACTTTCTGTAAATGTTAGATTTCTGCAGGAAACATAGTGTTCACACCATCAGTTCAAAATAAAGGGAGGTCAAAGACCGCCAGTCAATTTTCAGCCTCCGCTGTAGGGCAGAATATCATAAAGTATATATTAGCATAATAATGCCTTTGTTATTAATTTTGAACTTACCCTAAGAACAAGTTAATATGCTTTTGATAACCTCTATAATTCTTGGGTTTTTTATTTTAAATTTGAAATCTCAATATTGTAATAAAATAGAACTGTATTTAAATTCCACATAGAAACCAGGAGAGTGAGCATGTGTCTGAGTCTGAGTGTTGGAGATTGCCCCCTAAAGATCTTCAGAGAAGTGAATTGCTGTTCCTGATGAGCAAAAGATTGAGTCCGTAACTTACCAGCAGCTTCAGCTGACACAGGACTGGCTGCAGGGTTCTACAGTGCCAAGCACCGACTCTGTCCTAGACAGCCCTGACGTCCTGGTAGCTGCTGTCCACATAAAGCTGAGGTCATTAGATCAAAACAAAAGCAAACTTCAGTGTCTTGCTTCCTCCAGGAAAGTGTGCGTTGCTACTTTCTGTTCTCTGTCTGCAGAGCATCACGTTGGATGTGTGGTGTATTTCTGAACAGTGGTCAAATTCAAGATGCAGTCGTTTGAGTTTAGTATATTTAGGTTGATTTCCATGACTGCCAAATATATCCTAGGATGCAGATAAGTCATACCTTGCTTGAGAATTGTGGCCCACTGTGGTCAAATAACATCTCTGGTTGTGACTGGCTGGCTCTCTTTCTTGCCCCAACCCCGTATCTTTGGGATATAGCTTTCACCTCCTGTTTGTGGGAGGCACATTTGGAGATAGTGTGAGTTCTTAACACTCTGAGAGGTTGTGTTCTGGCTTGAATGGCTTAAAGGGAGAAAGAAAGAATTAGCTCAAGTGCCTGATTGGATCATTTTGGCTAATATTCTGTTTGAACAACAGTACCTGTTTGCTTAGGGTTTTCCCTTTCTTCGTAATTCCCCAAGCTTGCCTCCTTTAGTTTCATAGGAAATGAATCTATGAGCAGAAAACCTACATTGATATGTAAATATCATTTTTTTTTTTGGTTAATGCTCAATATTCTTTTCATCTAAATTTCAGAAACTGACTTTAAAAAATCAGTTTCCTTTTATTTGTAGTTATTCTCAATAAAATTTTACCCAGGCTTGGGTGGTTTAATATTTACACCTACTATTTCTAAAAGTCTTATGTAAATAAAGATTGAAATGTGAATTTGAAAAGTCACACCTCTTGATATTTGAACAGACTATGCTGCATATATCTTCTTTTTCTAATAATATGGCTAGTTTCTCTCCTAAGCTTTTAAAATAATAAGACACTTACTATTTTTATATTCTAAAACATCAAAAGGTTCAGTGTTAAATAAAAAGCAAATAGTATTTTTAGAGATGCAGGGTCCCTGGGAGCACTACTTAGCAGCAAATCACTGGTGGGCAGCGGCTGCAAACTTCAGAGGACTTTATTAAACTCGGGCTCATTCATAGCCGCTTGCCCGCATGCACAGGAGTGCTCCCCCGCCAGCTCACCACTCCCAGCCTGACTCCGACTACGGCTCCCCTGCCTCTCAGCGAGGCAGAGGCTATGAATCCCTAACAGCGGTCCCCTGTGTGCCTCTCAGCTTGTTTGGGGGCTTTTCCCCAAAGCTGCTGTGTGGCCTGAGCCCTTTCTATGTTCCTGACTATAGTTTGCTGATCCAACTGATGCTTCCCACTCTGAATCCTAGACAGAGCTGTCTCTGTGGGACCTGAGCACCTTGCTCTTCAACTGCCTTGTGTTTGTTTATTTGCATAGGTATATATTTATATATGTGTTGTGTACTCTCATGAGTATGGACACACATGTGTTTGGACGTGTGTGTGTGTGTGTGTGTGTGTGTGTGTGTGTGTGTGTGTGTAAGCTCAAACTTGACAGTGTTTTCCTTGATCATTTTCCCCTTATTTATTGAGGCAAGGGCCCCCATGAGACTGGAGCTCACTAATTCTGGCTAGTCTAGCCTGCCAGCTTGCCCCAGGGAGCCCCTCTTTCTGCCTCCCAAGTACTAGGATTACCGGCGGGCTTCCATGCCTGCTGTCTTTTCCGTGGATTCTGGAGACTGGAACTGAAGTCCTCGTGCAAGCATGCTAGTGCTTTATCTGTCAAACCATCTCCCAGTCCGCTGTCATGTTTTAATCACTGAACTCTTCCTCGTGAATGCACGGACCTTGTCTCAGTACGTTCTCCATCTCTGTATGTTCGATCCTTCCATCTGAGCCATTCTAGTTCATTCTTACACTAGTTTCTAGCTCAGTAATTGCTGACATGGGTTCTTTCTTTGGTTTGTCTGCTTGACAGAGTCTCATTTTATAGCATAGGCTGGCCTTGACCTTATCTTGTAGCCTGGACTGACCTAGATTGGTTGTAATCCTCCTGCCTCAGCCGCTGAGTGCTAAGATTATAGACATGAACAATTGCTGACAATTTCCCCTGTTATCATTGTCACAGCTCAGCTTGTGTTACTTATCATTACTCCAGACCATCTCCTCTCAGCCCCATATCACCTGCTCTCAAGGATTGGAATGAGTGTGGGAGCATTGTGGCTCTGTGACACATAGGTGTCTGTCCCCACAGCTGTCAAGCTGCTGCCTTCCCTGCTCTGTACTATCCTGTCTTGCACATCCAGAGACAAGGGTGAGGACTGTTACCAGCAGATTCCCTTGCATTCCACCAATGACCGAAGGCTGGACTGTCACTGAGCAGCTGACTTCTCTGTAGTCAGCTCGTCCATGGGAATGCTGCTGCTCCTTGTCAGTTGGGTCCAAGTGAGGCATACTGAAGCTGCAGGAGCTACAGAATAAACAGAAGAGGATCTGGGAGGGGTTGAGGATTAGAATGTAGATCATGAAGGATATGGGTTATAAGGCAGATCCAGGAAGGGTGAGAGATTATAAGCAAGATCCATGAAATGTGGGGGGCAGAGGAAGTCCTCTCACCAGTGCTCAGAGAGTTATAATGAAGTCCTGCACGAATGTGTATTACTGACGTGGGCACAGGAATGTCAAGGATCCTAGAGCTTTAGACCCATGGAGAAAATGGTAAAGTCTCCCTGGGAGTGAGGCTCAGAGGAAAGATGGCAAAACCTTCCCTTTGGGTCCGTGTGTGGATATTGATAGTGTGTGCAGAAAATGCCCACCATTGCTTTCTCCCCCAGATATTTAGGACCTGAAGACTGCTCCCCTACAGAGACAGCTCCTGCCAAGGTTAGCTAAACTTGCCTCATTGATCCACCTGTATACCACAAGCCCTTGTTTCTCTTTGTGTAATAATCCTCTGTCTTTGTCCAGCTGTATGCAGTAACCCCACCTCTCTGTTCAACTCTATGTAATAAACATGCTGCACTTTTGGTGTGCTGCAGTTTCTCTACCAGAGAGCCCAGATCACCCAACTTTCTGCCCATCCATCCATCACTCTCTTCTCTCTCCGCCCCAGTCAGGTCTAAGTCCCTGAAGCTGTGCCTGGACACGGCACTGGCAATGAAGAGTAACTTTCCACCTTTCTCTATCATGATATATAGTATCCTCATGACCTCAGTGAGCTTGACCTTCTAGACTGATAATCCAAGAAGGTGGGCGAGTTGTAATGGAGATCTATGACAGGTGGGGTTTTATAAGGGGGATTCATAAAGGGTAGGGAGGTCAGTGAAGGCGGTTTTAATGAAGATTCATGAAGTGGGGAGGCCCCACCACTCCAGGGACTTCCTAGACTCCCCTGGCCTGGTCCCATAGCACACAAGAGCCTCAGGAGAGAACAGTCCTGTGGAGAATGTGGGGGCATGCTGCATTCTCTCTGGAGAACTGATGTCCCGGGCCATGGAAGACCTTGAGCACCACAGGAAGGACCTCGTTTCTGAAGGGGTACCTGTCCTGCTCATCATTCTTCTAGGACTGTGGGAACATGGCCTGTGTGTTCTCATAGGATGATCTATGATCCTGGATGTTTTTACAGGATATTCTTTTATGGTCTTGTATGTGTTTGTATGATCTTAGATGTTCTTCTGTGATCTTGTATATTTTTATATGATGTTCTGTGATTTCATATTTGTGTATTTTTTTATATATTCATCTATGATCTGTATATTCTTGTATGTGCTTATGTGATCTTGTGTGTTCTTATATGATGCTCTTTTATGATCATATATGATATTGTTCTATGATCTTTTATATTCTGTGCTGTTCTTATTTTTTATGATCTTGTATATTTAATGATGTTCTTTAGATGTTTTTCTATGATCTTGTATGTTCTTGTATGTGCTTAAATGATTATCTTCTATGATGATGTATGTTATATTCAACGATCTTGTGTGTTTTTTGTATTTGTTTATTAATCTTCTATGATCTTGCATGTTCTTATGATGATCTTAGATGTTCTTCTATGATCTTGTATGTTTTGTGTTTTTAAATGATGATCTTCTATTGTTTTTGTACATTATATGTTTGTATATATTCTTTATATCATGTTCTCATATGTTTTCACATGTCCTCACCTATGCCTTTACACGTTCTTGAGTAACTCTCCACCTTTCTCTATCATGATATATAGTATCCTTATGACCTCAATGAGCTTGACCTTCTAGACAGATAATCCAATCTTGCCTGTGTGTCACGTGCACACCAGGTTCCTGTTGTTCCTGGTTCTAGAACATTCTGACCTCAACATTGTTTTCATTGCCTAGGATGCCTTCTAGGATGTGTAGACACATGTGCCTGAGTCTTTCCCATTGGCGGGATGGTTGAAACCCTTGACTGGACTGTCATCCCCTCATTTTCTGACCACCCAAACCTTCCTGGACCTCAGTCCCCTCAGGGAATCGTTAGTGTCTTGGTGTGGACCTTGTCGGCAGGGATGCCCCCCCTTCTCTAGCCTGTGGCCAGAAAGCACACTGCTGTGTACCAGTGCACATGGCCAAGTGTGACAGAGTCTCTTGGATGTTGATGGGACCCTTTGCTGCACAGCAGTGTGGCACCTGGCCACTGTCATACTCAGCCATCTCATTCTCCCATCTACTTTCGTTGGGATATGAAGAGAGGCCTGCTCCAAGAGGGTTGGGTGAGGGCCTCTGGTGGGGACCATTATGACCCTGGCTACTTCCAGATGTCCACATGAGGATCAAGCCACACTGCTGTTGTTTTGAATCCTGATTCGGTATTTTGATGGTGTATTTTAAAATTTTATTTTATTACTACCTGAATGATATTTCATTCTTCTCCAAGTAATAAAGGATGTAACATTTGTTAAGAACATTCTGTGCACTGGGCAGCATTAGGAATACTTTAAGTACCTTAGTTACGGTGTAATGCATGTTAATACATCTGTAAGTTACGCATTAGAAGTCATTATTTATAAGTGCAAGCCAGGCCTGGTGTCCCACTCCTGTAATCCCAGTACTTGAGAGGTGGTACACAGGAGCTAGCCTAGTGTGTATGTGTGTCTCTCTCCCTCTCCCCCTCTCCTATTAATATATTAATTATTATTATCTTATTTTTGAGTCAGGGTCTAACTCTGAAGCCCAGGCTGGTCTAGAACTTACTATGTAGCCTAGGCTGACAGTGCTTCTGTCATAGCTTTACAATGTGCTGGGATTACAGGCATGCACCATCACACCTATCTTAACCCAGTTACTATAAATAGTGTTGGTGAATATGTAGCTGAAGCCTGTTAAGAAGCCGAGGGTAAATTAATACTCCTAATATGTTCTTTCACCATTGCAGGGCCATTTCAACCATACCGGGGGTCATTAGAAGATGTGATAGGAAGAAGGAAGAAGATTCCAGTTGGGTTTGAATCCTCGTACGATGGCCAGTGCCAATCCCTTACAGCGCTCCTAGGTGCCCAACCGTTCAAATGACAGCCAGGGCTCCGTGCAGGGGTTGTTAGCCTCTCAGGTAATCCAACTTTCTCCAGAGGGCCAGGCACATCCTGAGCACATCCTGGCTCACTGCGGCCTCTTTTCTCATGTTCTGCTGGAGAAGAAATTATCTCGAAGTCAACAAATTCTGTGTCAAACTGCCTAGAGGTTTTGGAGCCTTGTAGCTTATGTAGTCATAAGGCACAGCTGGAGATCTCCCTGCCTTTGGATTTTGGGGGTTGTTTCTGGACATAACTGGGGTTGTTCTCATACTCTTTTTAATTAAAAGACTTATTTTTATATTTAGAATGCTGTATAATCTTGAAGTGAATTTTACTAAATGTTAATGTCCAATCAAACCGTGTAATTCTCCAACTGTAATTATGAGGGACAGAACCCCATTGATATTAAAATGGAAATTGTGGACAGCTGTTGGGTTTCAGTGTGTCGCGTAATTCTGGAGACAGCTTCGTGAGCTGTCTTGTTCACTGAGGTCCTAAAGAAATGACTGGGTGCGGTTGATCACAGAGTCGGCTTTGTGGTGAGCGAGGGGCTGCTGTCCCAGGCTGGGAGATTTAAAAAAAAAAAAAAAAAAAAAAAAAGAAATGACTGGGTGGGAGAGCTGATTTCACATTCTTTAACTGGAAGCTGGAGGTGGGCTCCAGCCCTTCTCCCATGTGTCCGTCATGTTCTTTACAGGGCTTGTGTTCCCTGCCAGGGAACTGGAATAGGGGAAACCAAGCTGCTGCAACCAATGTGGTGCTGCTTGTGAGAGAGATGCTCCAACATGGCAGGACATGGCCTTTACCAACCCTGGGAAGATGCCAGCACTGCTTATAGATGGGCTTAGAGACGATAGCCCACACCCGAACATCCAAGACTGGGAGAGACAGCTTGTGGTGTGTGGCCTTGGAATGTCAGGGTGGTGGTGGTGTTTGTTTTGTTTTTGAGCTTTAGTTTTGTTTTCCTCAAAAATGACATTAAGTTTTGTGAATAAATGCAAACCTCCAAGTTCCCATTTTCCTTTCCCCTGTAAACTCTGCCCAGACTCATGGAAAGGGGTGTCCAGGATTTTGTGCTAGGCATTCAGGTGCTTGCAGAGGCACACAGTTCTGTGAACCCAACAGTCCCTCTGGCCATCATCCACTCCATGAGAAACATCCCTACTCCATGTTAGAATTCAGCAGACTCTGACTCTGTCTTTTGCCTGCTGAAAATGTCATGAGTGGCCTTAAAGAACCACCTTAAACTTTTAAAAATTACATTTAGTGTATTTTTATTGTGTGTGTGGGGGGGTATGTGTAGTGTGATGTGATGTGTGTGGGGGGTATGTGTATGTGCAGTGTGTGTGTGTGTGTGTGTGTGTGTGTGTGTGTGTGTGTGTGTCTAGGAAAAACATGATTTTTATACATGGGATGAAACAATATACATTCAAAATGTACAGATAAGGGTTAGCGTTATTGCTTATCTTTAAAAACACTTGGGAGGCAGAGCCAGGAGGATCTCTGTGAGTTCGAGGCCAGTCTGGTCTACAGAGCGAGATCCAGGACAGGTACCAAAACAAGACAGAGAAACCTTGTCTCAAAAAACCAAAAAAAAAAAAAAAAAAAAAAAAGGTTTATGACTGGGCCGGGGATGGTGGTGTACACTTTTAACCCCAGCACTTGGGAAGCAGAGGCAGGTGGATCTTTGTGAGTTTGAGGCCAGCCTGGACTACATATAGAGCAAGTAGGACACCTAGGATAGCTAGGGCTACACAGAAAAATCATCTCAAAAACACAAAAAGTTTGTTTATATGAATATGAATATTCAAAACCAACAGGGTGTTTCTCTTGAGATGTTACCTATATAGATTCCAAGTTAGATGACATGGCTGTGTACTTACTGTCCTGAAATGTCCTCAGAAAGCTCTGTCATTCAACAAGAGACAGAGTAAATACCCCAGAGTCCTTTCTTTCGAAGGAAGAGGGAAAGGTGGGAATGGAAGAAAGTTCTCAAACTTTGTTCTCTCTTCTCCTGCTCTGGCACCTTGGAAACCTCCTCTACCTCCAAAAACTCCCTGGCCTCTGCCACCAAATCTGCCTCTTCCTCCTCTGCCCTCACCAAAGCCACCTTCACCTTATAGGCTTGGCCCAGTCCAAGGTAACTTTGTGTCCATCACTTTTCACCATCTTCTATGGCCTCCATGGCAACTTTGGCGTCTTCTTCACTATTGAAGTCTATAAAGCCAAACCCTTTGGAAGACCCAGGCTCCTGATCAGTGACTATTCTTGCACGAATAGAGCCCTTAAATGATTCTTTTAGGATCTCTTCAGTGGTTTCTTCTGACAGACCTTTGACAGAGTTTTGGATGGCTGACTTCTCGTATTAGGTGATCCCTGGGGTCCTCGTAATTCAAGCCTGATTGTTCTGCCCACAATTTCTATATTCTTACAAGAGTTTAAAGCTTTAGCATCTTCAAATGAAGCAGATTCTATAAATGCATGCCCTTTAGATATGCCATTTGGATTCTGGGGCACTTTGATAAAAGTTGCTTTCTCAAATACTTCCGGAAGAGCTTCTTCCATTGCACTGAAGGGAAGTTAAAACCAACGTTTTTGCTTCCTTTTCTTTCTGGCCCTATCTTGCCTTTGTCCTTTCTCCAGTGTAGCAGGGTGAAAAGATCACCCATCAGGCCCTGCCCCCTGCTTTTCTTCAGAGATTTTCTCTGCATCAGCTTCTGCGTTAAACTCATGAGCGATTGATCCCTTGATGATCATGATGATCCTTGATGACCAATGATCTGATGATCTCTGTGGCATCTTCAAACACTTCGTCCTCAGTAATGTTGAAAGACGAGTTTTTGGCTAAAAGTGTTCTTGCAGTTTGAGCTTTCTTAGTGTCTCTCTCTTTTTGTTTTTCTAGTTTATTTTATTGCCAAACATTTTTTTTTTTTTTAAACCAGTGAGTTCTAAGGCCTTTTTTCGGTCTTCAGCAGACTTAAAATCCACATAACCAAATTTCCTATTTGTACCAGTTCTGACATCTATAACAGCAAGATCAATTTTAGCGAAAAGTCCACTGGTGGCAAGTTTTCATTCAGCAGCAGATTTGCTGGGATTAAGGTTCCAGCAAACAGGTTGAAAGGTACGGTTCCGAGACGTCCGCTTTCTGTTTCTTGGCTCCAGGAACTTCTGTTTGGTCATTTCCTTCTTTTGTTTTCCAGGTGCTGTCTTAACAGGCTCTTCATCTTCTTCTTCTTCCTCCTCCTCCTCATCTTCCTCTTCCTCCTGGTCACACTCATGGCTTTTACAGGAACAACTTTTACAGGAGCTTTCTCCCCTTTGGACAGTGTGATCTCCACAGCTGTGATCTCCACAGCATCCTCTTCAGAACCGTCTTTCTCCTCACCGTTCTCTTCATCATCCTCATCCTCCATCCTCTGAGGCAGGAACAGCAACTGCTCCTTCCTCTGGTTTCTCTGCTGTCACACGTGGCAATGAATCCTCTTCATCGTCGTTGTCATCGTCATCTTCCTTATCCCCATCACTGTCTTCCTTTTGGGCATCCTTACTGTTCTTAGCCCTCCTTGGCTGCAGTGGCAGCTCCCCATTTTAACAGGGGTCGCTACCAACGCTTTTGCTTGTGTGGCAACTTTGATCGTTTTTGTTTGTGAAACCACTACCGTCTTTGCTGGAGTTGTGGTAGCCGTCTTGCCTTTTCTTCTGAGGGAAGACAACCTCTTCTCCACTGCTGTCATTGTCATCATCTCCACAATCGTCCACCTCCTGTGGGGGAGGAGCCATTTTCTTGGAGTTACTGTGACTTTTTTTTTTTTAACCAGCCTTTGTGAGTTTCATTTTGATGGCAGGTAATGACTTCGACGTGTGTGGCCAGAGAGCGGCGCAGAAGAGCCTAGGCAGACTCAGGCTGCTCCTATGGCAAGCCCAGCTGAGGACCGAGAAGACCCTGGAGCACATCTGTGGTGGTATATTGTGGACCCTAATAAACTTTGCCCGAAGATCAGAGGACAGAACAAGCCACTAGATTAAACATAGAGACCAGACAGTGGTGGCATTCACCTTTAATCCTAGCACTCACGGAGTCAGAGATCCATCTGAATCTCTGTGAGTTCAAAGCCACCCTGGACTACATGAGATTGACTCAGTCTAGGAGAGAAAACAGAGCCAGGCTGTGGTGGCACACACCTTTAATCCTAGTACTGGGAAGCACACATGCCTTTAATCCCAGGAAGTAATGGCTAGACAGAGAAAGGTATATAAGGCGTGAGGAGACAGAAACAAAAGGCTTTTTGGCAGAAGCGTCCCTTCCAGCTAGAAGCTTTTTCAGCTGACGCTCTTTTGGCTGGAGTTTTTCGGCTGAGAAGTCCCTTTCAGGTGAGTACTCAGAGGATTTTAGTCAGAGGGTTTGTGGAGTTGATGAGGTGAAAGGTGTCTGTGGCTTGTTCCTTTGTCTCTCTATCTTTCAGCATTTACCCCAATGTCTGTTTCCAAATTTTTTATTATAAGACCTTTAGAAATTCAAGCAACATACATACAACTGAATGCCAGCTGTCGCTAGCATCTGGGGGAAAAGAGGCCAAAGTCATCTTAAAAGTCAACAGAAAGTTATGTTTACAACAGGCCTCCCTTGGCCAACCCTATCCTGGGTAGCCCTGGGTGTGTCCTGCTGCCTGTGGACAGATGTGGGTGAGCAGAGAGGTGGGCAAATCCTTCTTCAGCTCTGGAAATCCCTGGGGGTGGGGCATGCAGCCTGCTGGAGGTGGCCAGGCCAGCTGTCCTCACCACCAGCTTGCTGTCCCTGCCAGGCCACTTGTCTGCACGGCAGGTACTAAGTACAACCCATTAGCCCACAGGCAGAACCAACCTGCACAGATTGCACTAAACTGGGTTTCCAGGCACCCCAGGAAGAGCGTGAAATGGGATTATCCCTTCCCAGTGCTTCCTCATTGTTTCCCTGTCAAGAAAGGGAAAAAGACATTTCCTTCCACCCAAGGAAACACTGGGCATTTATGTGTGGGACATTAGCTAAGTTCTTTTTTGTCCCTTCAATCTGTCACTGTTGGGTTTTGTATTAGGGTAAAAGTATCGAAGTATACAAACCTTTAAAAAGTAAATTGATGGCAGTTTCGAAACCAACAGTCTGAAAAACACTCACTCCAGAAAGTTCAGGCATGTTACATCCTTAACAGAGAAGGTCGTGTTAACACCGTTCAAGCTGCTTCACCTTCGAAAACACGGTTGCTTCCACCTCTTTTATGTGTGTATGTGTGCGCCTGCTTGGGACTGGGGGTCAAGCTCGGGTTTCATTCCTCAGGAGGCCACTGATCCTGCTGTATTAGCTAGACTGGCTAGCCGGAGAGCCCCTGGGATCCGCCTGTCTTCACTCCTTGCACACTTAGATTACAGACATGCGCTGCCATACCCAGCTT